ACTCCAACACTATATCCCCCCTGCTTTTAACATTTCTGTCATGATCCCATCAGTTCCAGCTGCTTTACCCCCTTTCATTCTACGTAATGCCTCACGTACCTCTCCCACACTTACATTCTGCTCTTCTTCACTCCTGAAAGATGGTATACCCCCCTGACCAGTGCATGAATTTTCCACCCCCCTTTCTTCCTCAACATTTAAAAGTTCCTCAAAATATTCTTGCCATCTACCTAATACCTCCCTCTCCCCATCTACTAACTCCACCTACTCTATTTTTAACTGACAAATCCATACTTTCCCTAGGCTTTCTTAACTTGTTTTAACTCAAAAATTTTTTTTATTTTCAAATTTAAAATTTCTTGACATTGCCTCTCCCACTCTATCATCTGCTCTCCTTTTGCCTCTCTCCACCCTCTCTCACCTTTCTTTTACTGTCCATATACTCTGCTTTCTTAACACTTCTGCTTGGTAAAAACCTCTCATAAGCTAACTTTTCTCTTTTACACACCCTTTACTTCATCATTCCACCAATCACTCCTCTTTCCACCTGCCCCCACCTTCCTATAACCACAAACTTCTGCCCTACATTCTAATACTGCATTTTTAAAACTATTCCAACCCCTTCAACCCCCCCCACTACTCATCTTTGCACTAGCCCACCTTCTGCCAACAGTGCTTATATCTCCCCCAACCTTCCTCCTCCTTAGTTTATACACTTTCACCTCCCTCTTACTTGTTGTTGCCACCTTCCTCTTTTCCCATCTACCTCTTACTCTAACTGTAGCTACAACTAAATAATGATCCAATAATATCAGTTGCCCCTCTATAAACATGTACATCCTGGAGCCTACCCATCAACCTTTTATCCACCAATACATAATCTAACAAACTACTTTCATTACGTGCTACATCATCCCTTGTATATTTTATTTATCCTCTTTTTCAAAAAAATATGTATTACTTATTACCAATCTCTTTCTACACATAGCTCAATTAAAGGCTCCCCATTTACATTTACCCTGGCACCCCAAATTTACCTACTACTCCCTCCATAACATTTTTACCCACTTTAGCATTGAAATCCCCAACCACCATTACTCTCACACTTGATTCAAAACTCCCCACGCATTCACTCAACATTTCCCAAAATCTCTCTCTCTCCTGTACACTTCTTTCTTCTCCAGGTGCATACACGCTTACTATAACCCACTTTTCACATCCAATCTTTATTTTACTCCACATCATCCTTGAATTAATACATTTATAGTCCCTCTTTTCCTGCCATAGCTTATCCTTCAACATTATTGCTACTCCTTCTTTAGCTCTAACTCTATTTGAAACCCCTGACCTATTCCCATTTATTCCTCTCCATTGAAACTCTCCCACCCCCTTCAGCTTTGTTTCACTTTTTTTTGAAGCCAGGACATCCAGCTTCTCATTCATAACATCCACAATCATCTCTTTCTTATCATTTACACAACATCCACGCACATTCAGACTTCCCACTTTGACAATTTTCTTCTTATTTGTAAATAAATAAATAAATAAATATATATATATATATATAAATATATATATATTAAATATATATATATATAAATATATATATATATAGTATATAATAATTATATAATATCGGGAGGTACCACCTCTAGAACTGTTTTAGGGACCCTCATCCTCAGAGAAAAGAATAAACTTGCTTCAGGGAAAACTCAAGGTTCTCCCTGAAGCTGTTTGAGAATTTTCTCCTACCACCCCCTATATTATATATACATTTTATTTAAAGACAAAATACATTGACATAATTATATATATATATATACATATAATGTATATACAGTGGACCCTCACCCAACGATATTAATCCGTTCCCGAGAGCTCAGCGTTAGGCGAGATTATCGTTAGGCGAATTAATTTTTCCCATAAGAAATAATGGAAATCAAATTAATCCGTGCAAGACACCCCAAAGGATGAAAAAAAAAATTTTTCCACATGAAATATTAATTTTAATACACACAAACTGAAGAAGAGATGCACAATACATGACACCTTTATTGAAGATCTGGTGATGACTGATGGGATGGGAGGAGGGGAGAGTGTGGATGCTCTTAGTGTTTAGAAGGGGAATCCCTTTCCATTAGGACTAGAGGTAGCAAGTCCTTTTCCAGGGTTACTTCCCTTCTTCTTTTAATGCCACTAGGACCAGCTTGAGAGTCGCTGGACCTCTGTTGCACAATATATCTGTCCATAGAGGCCTGTACCTCTCGTTCCTTTATGACTTTCCTAAAGTGGTTCACAACATTGTTAGTGTAATAGTCACCAGCACGGCTTGCAATAGCTGTGTCAGGGTGATTTTCATCAAAAAAGGTTTGCACTTCAAGCTACATTGCACACATTTCCTTTATCTTTGAAGTAGGCAACTTCCTCAGTTTCTCGCTCCCCTCCCCCAAAGCAGTTTCCTCAGGTCTGGCCTCTTTCTGTTGAAAATGATCTAGCAGCTCATCAGTGGTTAGTTCGTCATTGTCCTCCTCCACCAACTCTTCCACATCCTCCCCACTAACCTCACCAATATGAGCACTAGTTCCAGGCATTTTCTCCTGTTCACCTGGGTGTTAGTCAACTGTTGTGGGTCACATCCTGGGAGACAAGATTAAGGACCCCAATGGAAATAAGTTACAGTCCTCGATGATGCACTGACTTTCTTGGGTTATCCTGGGTGGCTAACCCAATGGGGTTAATCGTTTCTCGGTAATTGTTTCATGCTAAGCCGTACCAACAACACACTCTCCACATCTTTGAGTAATACAGCTGATGGTGGTGCAGCAACAGCAACAGTTGACTGTGGTGCAGCAACAGCTGACCGTGGTGCAGCAGCAGCACTGACTGTAGTGCAGCAACAGCTGACCGAGGTGCAGCAGCAGGTGACTGTGGTGCAGCAGCAACAGCTGACTGTAGTGCAGCAGCAGCTGACTGTGGTGCAGCAGCAGCTGTGGTGCAGCAACAGCTGACTGGTCCAGCAACAGCTGACAGTGGTGCAGCAGCAGCTGACTGTGGTACGATAGTATTTCTCGCCCTTTTTACCACAGGGTTGGCACTAGAAGCTTTCTTGGGGCCCATGGTCACTTATTTTGCAGGTGAAATCACTAAAAACGCTATGATAATATGAAATGTTCTGATTGTATGCTTGGAGGTGACCGCAGAGGCTGGCTTGTAAACACTGCCACCCACGGAAAAAGTGAGGCTGGCTCAGGCCGCAAGTGGACGCGTCTTAGACGAATCGCGTTCAGCGAGTTTTTTAGCGCTAGGCGAAGCAAAATTTTTGCATTAAAATGTATCGCTAGGCGGATTTAACATTATGCAATGCCATCGTTAGGCGAGGGTCCACTGTATATATATATATATATATATATATATATATAATATAATATATATATTTTATATATATATATATATAAAATTTTATGTATATAATTTTATATGTATATAATATATATATATATATGTATATATGTATGTATATGTGTATATATACATGTATGTTTTATATTATAAATATAATATGTATAATGTATAATATTGTATGTATATATGTAAATTTTTTAAAATGTATGTATATATGTTTTTGGTATTTTAAGTATATATATATTTTGTATATATAA